CAGCAGGAACAAAAGAATTGTGATATAAAAAAACTCTAACTGTTAAATCCTATCTAGTTTGGTAGCACTTTCTTATAATTAAATGCAGTATTTTAAAGACTGAATAACAGAAAAATGGAAGATTTGTTTTCCCTTGTTCATCATAACTTTTTAATATTATACAAAATTAAAATATATAAAATGGAATGTGAAAAAGAAAATAAAATGTCATAAAATGGAAGTATATTATACATTTTTATCATTTTAGTTTTCAAAAAACTTTTATATATATGATATGATAAAAAGCTCCAATCTACTAGGGCTGTGGAGTCAGTAGGGAAAATGACTGACTCCTGGAATTTTAATGACTCCGACTCCTTCATATATATGTAAACATATACACATGGGTACAGCTTATTTTTTAATATAAAAGAAGTAATAGATGCTACAGAAAAAAAAATTGATGCATAGCAAATTTTTTATATTAATTAGCATTTACTATGAAATGGAAAAACTGGCATTAGTAATTTCTAAGAAATAGTAAAACTTTGGTAAGACCCTCTTTGTTAGAGGACTATAGATCCGATTTGATAAACTTCAGATCTGAAAAGAGTCTTTCCGCACTGATTTGAGTAGGATGAAGAGATGTTACTGTTAGGGCTACTTCCTTTAACTTTTCAGGATAGATTTTTATAAATTCTAAAAGAGGTGTCTTGCAAGAGCAATCATATTTATCTATTTCTTCAAAGGCAGTGTATACATCTTGTTTGTATTTTTTAATTTTTTATCTAAAGGCTCTTGGTTATTTATTTTCATTCGCTTTGCCTTAGCCTTTTCAATATTATCCAAATATTTTTCAAAATCTAATTCATCAGTGGAAGACGATGATAGAGATTCAGTTACAATATCTGCAGTTTGACTGTCCTGATTTGAATACTCCAGTTGTTTTGATAATAATTTCATTTTTAATGAAAGTTCATAGATGGCTTGATTTGCCTTTTTACTCTGATTCCTTCTGCAATAAACCCTCCATTTCAGGAATAACAAAGATCACATTCTTCCAATCTTGCCTCTTGTTAATTTTTCAGATTGTAGCTTTTACGGTATAGAAAGAAGAGTTTCCAATTCTGCAAGATAATTCCACAGTCTTTCTATTAGTGAAACATTAAGGTTATCTACATCTTCTAACATTCTCATTTCCTGTTAATTCTTCAGATTGTAGCTTTTTTATGGCTATATACGGTGTTGAAAGAAGGGTTTCCAGTTCTGCAGGATCATTCCACAGTCTTTTTGTTAGTGAAATATTAGGGTTATTTACATCTTCTGAAAAAGTTATTAATCCAAACAGCCACTATATCATCAACTATGTACTTCTCCATAGCGTTGCTCTTTTTCCTGCTCGCTTCCTAAGAATGGCATCAATTGTGGGAGTTCTTGCTGCTTACCTCAATTCACCAATGAGATTAGCAACTAAATGAATCAGTTTAATTAATAATGGCAAATATCACACCCATCTTGTTTCCTTATATTTATTTATTATTATGTCAATAAAATAGAAAATAACTATTTATTAATGTATATAGTCCATAAATAAAAATATTAACTTAGTTTGTCATTAATTTTTTTTCAATTCACTTTAATTTCATTTCAAATTCAAACTGTTCAATAAAAACTGGAGTCGGAGTCGACGTTTTTTTTAGCAACTCCAACTTCGACTCCTTTTACCCAAAAATCTACCCGACTCCACAGCCCTGCAATCTACTATTAAAGTCTCAATTAAGTCCCATTTTCTGAAATTGACTTAAAAAGACAATACATAATTACCCAAACAAAAAAAAGAGTATTTTGTCTTTTGATATAATTTATGCTTCTAATTTTCTCAATCACGTGTAAAATGAGTTTCCGATTAGAGGGGGAAAAAAGAGAGAGCCATTGCCACCTAACTGAGAAGGGGGGAAAGTTCATTATTTTTTTTAATATTTTATTTTATGTGATACAAAACAAAACTTATGGAAAGATAAAGACTAACATGCTATATTTAAATTAATAACTGAAGGAAAACAACCACTAAGATAATTTATATTCAAAAGAGTGAAAATTAACTTTGAAAATATATCCAACATTAGAGACAAATTAATTATTACGGAATGTACAACAGTGAAATTTTGGTCTTCTGTGGATTTGGCTTCCTTATAGAACAAGACTATTAACGATATTATATACCAGTGTTCATTCGCTTTCTAAGAAATTCTGATAAATTCAGTAATGGTCATTACACAGAGGCAGATTTATAGGATAGCATAAGTTACAACAGTAAGGAGCTTCATGTTCCAAGGCGTCCTCTAATAATTAATTAAGTTAACAAATGGTTTGTGTCTTCAAATAGAACTTCAAAAATTTAGGCGAGATGAATCCTCTACTTCATAAATCTATCACTGTTGCCATAAAAAGATTTACTATATCACCATTTCTTGCCTTTAGTACTGATTAAAAGGAAGAACATTACATTAAGAGTGAACAGCAAGTTTCTAATTACAAAGAATAAAAAGCTAATTTTTTCAATTCATCTATGAACACGGATAATCCCTGGAACTGAAGTAATGTTTCAGATGTTATGTTTAAATCATAGATGCAAGTTTCCATAAGCATAAGATGCAGACAGACAATTATTAAGTATTTAGTATGTATAAAATTTTTTATCTGAAATGTTCTAAAATTTTAAAACTACTGACAGCAGAAACTAGAAATGTACAAAGATGATTAATGAAATGACACCAAGGAAAAATATATCTTTAATAATAAAAAATCATGGCATTATTATTTAAAATGATGTTTTGCCTACAGTTATATTTAAAACTGACACTTTCTCTTTCATGCTTAGAATCAGATATAAGGTATAGGAAGACGTTAATCATAAAGGACGATACAAAAGTTTCCATTTGAGGGCATCGCTGCAGCATATATGCAAATTAGTGTTTCACTGATGTTGGTATATAATCACTAACATCTTGGCACGGATTATTGTAGCATTCGTTTATTTCTGAAGTTTGAATGTTGACAATAGCAACTTTATTACCAAATGCATACAAACGGGATCAATGTGATGTTATTCTTTTTTTTTGGCTGCCAAAGAACAAAAACTAGTAGCCATTCATCAGAGAATGAAGGGATTGCAGAAGCATGCCTATCAAAAACCACCCTTGTGGAATGGTGCTCTATGTTCAGTGACAGTTGCGATTTGACTCAAAATGCAAGTCAATTTGGAAGGCCCTTCACATTCCTTACAGACAACAACACACAGGTAGTTGATGATGGGATTAGGGCAGAACACTGGATATCCATGCGTGCACTCTCAAGGAATCTCGATATAAGCTTTGATAGCAGGCAATGCATTATCTGTCAAGAGTTAGGCTACCATAAGGTCTGCAGCCAGTGGATACCCTGGTATTGGATTCTGAACAAAAATCAAACCGGATGGCTGTTTGCCTAAAGCAAACATGGTGCATTTTCAATACTGAAGGCAACACGTTCCTTGCACATATTGTTGCAAGTGACAAAAGCTGGTGCCACCACCAGGAACCTGAGTTGAAACCATTGACTATGCAGTGGTGTCATCCTTTGTCCCAAAAAGTTCAAAAGCCTGTCATCTGTTAGAAAAGTGATGCATTTGTTCTTTGATTTCTAGGGTCCATTGTTTATTCATTTCAAGAATCTAGGTATCTCCATCACTGGGAAATGGTATGGCAATGCTGAAGAGATTATGATGTGCAGTTAAGGTAAAACATCCGGGAAAAGTGCAGAATGGGGTGATTCTGCTTCATGATAATGCATGTTTCCAATTGCAAATGTCACGATGGAGAAGTTAGACACGCCAAAGTGGGGGATGACCGAGCACTCACCTTACAGTTCTGATCACTCCCCATGCAATTTTTATGCCTTCGGTACCTTAAAAAGCCTTTGAAAGGTTGATGGTTCTGGTTGGATGGACAGGCAGTTTTAAACTCATCAAGAAGCAGAAAAAAAAAAAAAAAAAAAGTTTTACCCAACTAGTATATCCAACCTGGTGAAGCGGTGGAGATGATTACCTAAAAGCTCAAGGTGATTTTTCATGATCGGCATAACAAATTTGGACAGCACAACCTTTGAATGAAAACTTTATGATCTCCCCTTATATTTAGCAACTGCTTTTTTGGCACAAAAGTTATTCAAAAATTTCTTTTCCACACAATTTAATAAAAATAATATGACAATTTAAAAAATCAAAACACTTACTACCGTAATTTCCGGAAGAAAGGCAGCATCAGCGTAAACACTGCACTCGAGAAAAATCGCGGGAAGAAAATTAAAATTACACAGAAACGCCGCAATAGATTAAATTGCGCGTGACATCGTCGTGGGCTGTATAGATGCAAAAACTCAACCTACGTCCTGATATATGACATACCAGTTAAGAAAAATGCATGAAATGAAACCATAACTCAAAAATAAATTAAAGGTAAGAAATGTATAGCTTCTGTGCCGTTTAGAGACATTTTCAAAAATTTTTCCGCTCCCTTCTTGCTTAAAAACTATCCAACAAGTACTTGTACCCAAACTGATGGGATCTGTATTTGGCAGAATGCCAAGAAAAATCCATTCATGCTGAAGGGGAAATATGTCAGAGTTCGTTATTGCGAGGCAGGTGGAGTCGTGTCCGCCTTTGAAAAAAATTGCAGAAAAGGCAGGGGTGGGGAGAGGATGGGTCCTGGAAGATTCATCGAATGACAGAGGAGAGAGACTATTCAAACTGATGAGAATGTTGATTTGAAAGGGGGAAGAATGTTATTGTTCTGAGATCTCGTTTAGGGTGAATAAGGCATGTAGGTCCGTTCAAGGGAAAGAATGTAAACAAAATAACGCTCGCAAAAAGCAACTGAGTGGTCTTTTGCACCAGTCTATGCACAATGACAAGGCCATCCAAACTATGTACAATGACCATCATAGGAAATATTTTATTTTTAGTGCACCTAAACGCCGCATGGGTAGAAACGCCACACCCGCTGAAAATTTAAGTTTTAAACACGTAAATGCCGCGGCATTTCTTCCGGAAATTACGGTATATCCTTTAGCAAACAGATCTTATTTTTTCAAAAACTTTTATTATACTGATGAGATTGTGAAATGACCAGTGAGTTCATCTATCTGCCAGTGAATAAATATCCTAATCATCAAGAGCTTTACCACTATGGAAAATACACTGTACTAAGTATAAAATCTGCTGTCCACACTGAGCTATTTTCAAAACCTGACTAATAATTTAATACATCCAATAAATTAAAACACTTAATACAATGAAACCTTAAATTAGACTTTTGGCCTAGTTTCAGATATACATATTTATTTATATTTAAATTATACTGTCTATCATTTTTATAAATTAGAAATATAAAAAACAACACATTGTGAAAAAATATTAAGATATGGTATACTATTGTGAAAATATAAATATATAAGATAAATTTTAAACTTAGCATTTGCATAGTTTATAATGGCTGTAAATGACATAGAAAAGAAAGAAATTATGCACACTGAACAAGTATTTCTAATTATTGAAGAAATGTAACTTATATGCACCACAACTATTTGTTAATGTATGGTAATATGTAAAATGACAAGAGATTACTTTTATTACATTCCTAAAGTCAGAAAGCATATGGAATAAGGAAATCACTGGTTTAATTAAAATTATATCTCCCCCAAACAATAAAATTATCTTTTTTTTAAACTTTACTTTTTAATCAACCATTTATAGCTTTTAGATATATTTTATTTAACTAAATGCAATATAAGGTTTTTTTTAATTACTTTTAACAGACCTGATACATAACCTGATATATTTTTTTATCTGGGAGACTAAGAATTCTTTCTACAATCCCCATCTAAATATTGTTCCTATATCAGTAAAATAATATAATAATTAATTAATTAATATAGAATACTATACAGTGTTTCAAAAAGCTTCTCATCATTGTATACCAATTGATCTTTGAACTCTTAATATATTAATTTAAATTTTACCCAGTGTAAAATTTGATTACACATACTGAAAAAGAAAACACAGCAATTCTGACACCATATTAGGCCATCCTCCAAAATCACCTACAGTACAAAGTTCGAGATCTGGATGTTCAGTATCTGCAGTGATTGAATATTTAAATCTCCAGACTTCCAGAAATATTTTGCAAAAAGGGGGAAAGAAGTAGGTTCTAAAAGCTGCATCTCGCTTTAGCATATGTTTAATGCATAACACATGTGCAAACAGTTTTTTCATAATAAAGTACGTGAAAGCACTGATTCTTACTTTAAGTTCAGCACTAAGTAAAGCATCTCCCTGTTGAAGAAACACAATTATTTATTAACATGAATGTATATGATTAATAATTTTTTGACCTCATAGCTGCCTTTTTGCTTGACATACATCTCAAAGCAAAACAGCCTATCAAAATTCATTGCTGATTTTACACATACTGAATAGCTTCAAACCCTGATGTCAACCTGGTAATCATTTTTGCTATTAGCCCAAAAGAAGCTATTAATCTGGAAATCAAATTTTGTGTTAGTTCAATATAAATAGCATATTTAAAGAAATTAAATAATGAAGAATCTGCATGTATGTATGAATGATTCTTAGCCTGTGGAAAAAAGACAGTACCTAGAGCCATCAGACTTTGAATAATGTAATCCTCCAGTCAAACATGTGCATATGGAAACCCAAGTCTTGAATTTCAAATATGTTTTATTATTTATTTTATATTTTTTAAAACTTCAATGAATTTTTTATTAACAAACTCAACAATCTGAAAGCAAGCAGTGGCAACACTCTTCAAAATAAAATGTTTTTATCTCCAGAGCTAGAAACTATTATCATTTGGAAAAATGTAAGATATTCATCTTTCAATTTTAATTTAGAAACTTGGCTATATGAAAGCAATGTGTTAGTGAAACCAGAAATACAAAACTTTTATCGTCCATGCACCAGCATATTGCCATTCAGTAAATTCTAACATACTTTCAAATTTAATCTGAAAGGTAATTATTGAAAGCTTAATAAATTTAATTTTATGTGGTATAAGTGCGAAGAAGGTGATATTTAATAAATGAAGTTAACACATAAAAAGACATAAATAAAAATTTGTTTAGCCACCTTATTAAGAAAACTGAACTTCTTTGAAACCCTTAAGAGAATTCTAAACATGTGCTGTTATGCAGCCTTTAAAAATTCAGTGAAGTTTTGTTGTTGAACTGTATGTGACATTAGCGCAAAGAAAATAATACTTAATAATAAGTTAAAAAGAAAAGAAAAAGAGATTAGCAGGAGTGTGTGCAAGAGCAGACTGGTAGACTGTGAGCTTAATGAGAGCATACAAAACCTTTACAAACTCTTTTGGGCAAAAATCTAAAAGCTTTCAGATTTTTTGAAAAATCATTTTAATTTTTTGATTTCATCACCATGTAACTATCAATCCATGACAACTTGGGAAATAACGCATGGAGTTATTTCTCATGTACCAAATTGAATACCAAACAGCATGGTACCTTTTATGTTGATATTATGCTTGGGAATGATTACAAATTCAGCTAACTGTCCTTTGTAGTGCTGAGTGTGTTGAAAAGAAAAAATTTAACAGAAATTTCTCTTCATCTGAGGCCTAACAACTGTATTTGCTTCCACTTCAATTAAGAATAACTCATTTGTTATTCAAGCCCTAAATATATATGAGAATTTATTTATTTGGACTCAGCCTTAAGCATATGCAGAAAACAGACATAATTATATCGAATAACTAAACTAATATTATTCAGCCTTAATTTAAGCAGCATGCTACAGATGCAAGACAAAATTTATCAGAACAATGAATCTTTAGTCTCCGATATCAGGATACATTTCCAATACTAAATAAGACATGCTAGCTAAGCATTAATCTATACTAAAACAAGACACAACTAAAAATCTCTAGAAAATCTAAATGCAGAAAATATCGCTATCGATAATGAAGAAAGTGACAAAGAAGTTGCTGTGAAAACATTTTGACTGGCAATTAAGTGGGAATTCTTGACTTGGTAATTACAGAACTTTTTTTTTTTTTTTTAAATTTGATATCCTTAATATCATAAATGATTAATGTTTGATAAATAACTATTTCATATTTTTTATTTTATTTATAATTTGTTAATATTTTCAATTTTATAATTTAATTATATAAACATCATTTTACTAGATTTAAACTGATGATCTAAAATCGAAAAATTCTGAAATCTGGAATAGCTGAAGTTTCAACAAGTCCAGATCTAGGATTTTGTATTGTAGCTCTTTTTGATGTTTTTTCACAAATAAATGGAAAAACTATGATAAATATCCTTATCTTTAGGAAGTTTTTTCAATACTACTTATATTACTCATATCAAATATGAAGGGAACTCTCTCTACAGTGATAGTAGTCATTTTGGAAAGGCAATATTCAATGCTAATATTTGTTTTCAGGAATACTAGCAACTTTCAGAAGTAACTGTCAGAAAAATATTCTCTATATTTAGAAATGTAACTAAATGACTATTACTGCAAACTAACAATTTATAGAATTTCCAGTATTCATAAGAAAAATATGATTTTTGGAGCTGTTTAACTAAGTCTTACCTCACATAAAAGTTGAATGTACATAGTTGTTAATTAATCACATATAAATTTTCATTTATATTACATAATTTCTTGTTTCTATCATGATATGAAATTATTTAGTTACCGTTAAAACAAATGTTTACAAACTAATGAAGTTTCATTTGTACCATATAAAACACAAAATATATTACTGATCAACAAACAGCTGTCCCAAAGAAAAATATGAAATGTTCAAATAAATTGCAGCTGTTTTTTGTAAATACAGTTTTCATTAGATTTGATTTATGCATAGACCTCTGCTGGCTAAAATTAAGATTTGCTCATGTAAGAATGAGGTAAGAAAACCTTTATAAAAATTATAAAATAGCAAACGTAAGCCTTTATACTCAGCTATACAGAAATTGCAGTCCTGCTGCAATATTACATAAACTGAGTGAAAGACAACTGCAAAAATAAGATACTAACAGTTCATTAAATAATCAGATCGGTTATACTATACACATTAAGTAAAAACACGAAATAATAATAATAAAAAAAATACAGGCATGCAAAATCACAACTTACACTGAACAATTACTTTTCAAAGTATAAGAGAACAGGAAAAATAACTAAATTACCACATAGAGTATATTTTATTTCTTCTAGATTTAAAAGCAAATATTTCTTGGTTATTTTAATATTTGATATAAAACATTTATATAAAATCACATTAAAAATTGTTTTCACCAAGAATGTATCTCATTCACCAATAACTCTTTACAGACAATCAAGGTAAAAAAATGGTTAATTTCATATATTTAGACATATGTTTCATATTTACCTGATTGGCTCATAGGATTAAATTATTTGCATTCCAATTGGAGTAAAAAATTCAAATCACTAAATTTCTTACAAATTTTCTTTCATTGGCTACAAGAAATATTACTAAATTACAATATCTTTCCAATATATTCCCCAACATTTTCAAATACACTTTATATTTAAAGTATTTTAAATACAGTTATTTTTTAATTTGGCTTTCTTTCTTCACTTTATGATATGAACAAAAGTCAAACCTATTTATTTAAATATTAAAAGATGTTGAGCACAATGAGGCATTTGTTATTTTAATAAATAAACTGTCTGAAGCATAAATACATCTAAAGCACTGCAATTAAAAATGATGGTATTTATAAAAATATTTTTGAAATTCTCTCAAGAGTTATAGTACATTTTAAAGCAATGCCTAAATGATTATGATTCATGAAATTACACGTCTATGATATTGAACACTCAGATGTTTGATTTTCCTCTTGCGGAGAATCTAAACTTTCTGCAGATTCAGCTAGAGAACTTTCATCATCTTTATCAATTTGTGTACCCTGTAACACAAGAGTACCTTCTATGCCTGGTATATCACTACTTGTAGAAAGTCTGTGACTGCTTTGTTCTTTGCTATAAAGAACATCACTGCAAAATTCTTCAGAAGCTGGCTGCATGTCAAGTTTGAGCAGAGATGATGATGGAGAACACTTTTTGCTGAGAGCTTTTGCTTGGTTGTGTATGACATGCATAAAGGCTTTATAACCTGAGCTGTAGTGGGGAAAGAAAAAAAAAAAAAAAAAAAAAAAAAAGATAATATAAGTAATATGATCACAAAATCTAATATTGGCTAATCTTATATGCCAGAATTTCGTGGCATATACAGCAGCATATCTTAAAAACCATGAGTTTATTGCAGCTATCTAAGAAAGTATGAAATCCAAGTAATTTCATAATGGATATTTGATAAATACATGTGAAAACTTTAATTTCAGAATTTTTGAAAGATTCCCCATTTTTAAAATGCTGACTTCAGTTTTATTAAATCTTAACAGTAATGTATAAAATAATTTGTTTCAAGTTAAAAAGGGAAAACTAAACAGGAATTTAAAATTTATTTTTCCAATGCAAAATAATGAATAGCAAATTACTTAAATGATTTTCTCCACCATGCAAAAACATATAGCAAAAATTTCTGTACTTGTTACTTGTATCAAGTGCCCATGATAACACCGAGAAGAAAAAATGTGTAAATACAGTATAGGTAACCAAATGTATTATATATAACTAGGGTTAGTTTTATCATTAGCCGATTTTAGGGATTACGTAATCAGCAAGGGTGACAAGATGGGTGCACAGATTTTCCTCATTAAAAAAAAAAAAAAAAAAAAAAAAAAAAAAATTAGTCAAAAAGTCTAGCCAACAATAATTTAATATAAATGAATAAAACTTTAATACTGTAAATAAATATAGAATGAAATCCTTCACAGCAGTTATCTTCATAAGATCCTTCATGATAAATATCTTCCTTCACCTTCGAAAGTGACTGGCATTGCTGAACACTACAGATGGGTATTCATTTCATTCATATATTTATACATCCTCTTAGGTGAACATCTTTAAAGACCAATCTCATTCAGAACCTTGTGTAATCATCTCATAAAGGTTTGATTACATACAGTATATACACAAAAGCACAGGAGCACCTAAATTTTCTTTGTGTAGGGCATCAGATACACTTTTGCCAACTCTATATACAGCATTGAAAATCTTTTTTTGTCTTAAAAAATGGACAGAAAACACTCAACAGCAATTTTTCGGCAATTACTTATTACAGCCCATTATTTAAAGCAGACTGTATAATTTACATCATCATAAAAGCACACACAAGCATTCTGTTTATTTACTATATATTCAACAACAGCTTTTGTTTTTCTGATTACTATCTTTTGATGAGTCATGATTTTGTTGTCTTTTTTTTAATAGAAATGAAATTATGATAAAAAAATATTTCATTTCCTATAGTAAAATCATCTTCAATTCTAGCCACTGCATTTAAGAAGCTCATTACTTTAAATCTTTTCCACATGATATCTCACGACCAGTTCCTCACACTGACAGTATCCATATCATAGCTGATTCACCATCCTTTTGTACTTGTACAATACCACCACATAGTATAGTCATTTCTTCCCATGGAAATGCCAGCACAGAGATTGCATAGTTCAGTATTTGTTTCCCCTTATATAATCCTTTTTTAAAATCAAGGTAAGACATTACAGGAACATACATGACATTTTAAATTAACTACCATTTTTTTCCTGTATTCACACAATAACTTCCTGTGATAATCTCCCGAAAAACACCAGCATGGAGATTACATGGGTTAGCATTTTTTTCCTTTCTAAAAAATACATAGATACTACATGAAGACATAGAGTATTTTAAATCAAGCATCATACTTTAGATGATTCAGAAAACCTACTAATTCAGCAGCATTATAGTTTGTATTCCATAATTTTTACTCTTCCTGTAATTTTAGACTTATTTCATAGTTCATATGTGTAAGTTTATAATCATATGTGTGTGAATTAGAATTTATTCAACATCAAGATTATTTTCAGATGAGGAAATATGTTTTAGATAATTTCTTTTAGGTATGCATTATTTAATTTTTTTTAAAATTAGCCCTCACAGTGATGCATTTTTTTAGATCTGCTCATATATTTAAATAGCATTTATTAGCTAATTTTGTATCATTTTATATTTTAGCCTCGGTTTTTATGAACACCTGTATTTAAATAGCATTTATTAGCTAAATTTGTATCATTTTTTGTTTTAGTCTCAGTTTTTATAAACACCATTCATTAAATATGATATTTAAATCATTAAAGGAAGCACAAAAACAAAATATTTTAAGTCATTAGCTAATATAAAGCAAATGGGGGAAAAAAACAACAACTTATGACCAGATAAAACCAGTTCTGCTATTCAGGGAGATACAAACATTATTATTAGCCTTTAATCATGTTCTATAATGTTATTCAAATTAAAAAAAAAATTCAAATTAATTCAGAAAAATTAGTGAATCATAAAAAAATTGTGGTTTGCTCTCAAATGAACAACTATGATTTTCTGTGATTCTTCTCACCCTTTCCCCCCCCACTAATAGCAATTCAGTATTCAAATATTTCCTTCTCCTTATTTTGTTATACAGTCAAAAGTCTTTAACCTGGACTCGTCGGGACTTCAGCGATTCCGGATTATAAATCATCAGTTTAAATCTGGTATAAGATGATAAATTATAAAATTAAAAATATGAAACTGTAATTTATGAAAAAGAGCAATTATGATCTAAAGGGTATCAAAATAATAATAATAAAAAAGCTTTATATTTATTTGTTTACATTATTAAACATTACTTTCAACGCATGCATGCATAAAGCATACATTACGCATAGTCAAAATTAAAAAATTGCAACCAGAAAACTATTTGATGTGCATTCGTGATATTTATAATGACGAGGGAAATACTACATTTAGTAAGGAATCATAAGCCGAATAAAATAAAAACATCTGCTCTGAAGATAAGGATAGTGCTGACAGACCAACTTCTAGTTCATTTCGTGCCTAGCCCCCCCCCGCAGAGCAGCGTGAAATTGATAAACACACTTCGGAATAATTAGAGAATCAAAGGATATGCCTTTATCCATTTTTTGCAGCAATTCCACTTTTTGTTTGATGGACATCGAAACGTGCTTTCGCTTTGTAGATCCTTTGGCAGCTCCAGCATTGGAAATTCTATTTGACATAATCGAAAGTTCAAGCTTACTTTTATAAAATTGCTCTAACAGTCTGCAAAAAATACGCCGGATCCAATTAGAAGATTAAGGAACAACGCAATCTGCAACATTAACTGAAATAGATAATTAGATTATTTTAGCTTAGCTTATACCGTCCATTATACATTAAATGCGCATGTGTAAACGTATTATGCGCATGCATAGATGCATATGCACATGCATAAAGGTATTATGCACATGCGTTAACGCATTATGCATTGACGCATGCACAGAAAGTTTGTAGCTTTGAGGTCTGGATTATAGATCATTCCGGATTATGGACATCCGGATTAAAGACTTTTAACTGTATATACAACAACAATTTTATAAATCTTCTAAGCTTGTAAAACTGTATTGTAAATTTGTATACATTAAAACCATAAAAAAAATTTCATTCACAATTTACTTCCTCTTTCTCTGTACATATGTGAAAAGGATGTAAATAATATATTTTAAGTAATTACTACAGTAAAAAGTCGTTAATTCGGACACCCATAATCCGAAATGATCTATAATCCGGACCTCAAAGCTAAAAACTTTCTGTGCATGCGCCGCGTTGACACATGCGCATAGGCGTTTACGTGTGCGTGTAAGACTTTTTACGACTGCGCATATGCAGAATACGTTTTCGCGTGCGCGTTTTATGTATAATGGACGGTATAAGCTAAAATTATCTAATTATCTCAGTTAATGTTGATAATTGCGTTGTTCCTTAATTTTCGAACTGGATCCGGCTTATTATTTTTTGCAGACTGTAAGAGCAATACTATAAAAGTAAACTTGAACTTTCGATTATGTCGAACAGAATTTCCAATTCTGGAGCTCCCAAAGGATCGTACAAAACGAAAGTATGTTTCGTTGTCCAACAAACAAAAAGTGGAATTGCTGCAAAAAATGGATAAAGACATGAAGAATGTGACAGAGAGGTTAGTGAAAACGAAAAAATTTTGATTGACAAGTTAGTTGGTATTCTCGGCACAGCAATTAACGGGACTTGAACAGCAGAACTTTGTAACTGAACAAGAAATTATGTTTGTTTATAGAATTAAAGAGAAAGTATTATCACATAAAACGAAGCAACTTAAACAACTTACATTGAAAGAAATGTTTAATAAAGTAAATAAATAAATATTAAGCTTTTTTTTTTTTTTTTTTGTAAATTTTGATACTCTTTAGATCATAATTGTTCTTTATTTCATAAATTACGGTTTCATATTTTTAATTTTAGAATTTCTACATGCCATCTTATAAGATTTAAACTGATGATCTATAATCCGTAAAAATCGATAATCCGGAATCGCCGAAGTCCCGACGAGTCCGGATTAACAACTTTTGATTGTATTTAGCTGGAGCTAAAAGGTACAAGAATCTAAAATGTATTCAAACAAAGCTTTGAGACACTTATATGGCATAGCTAAAAAATTATACTAGCCAGTTAAAATAAATAAATATTTCATTCAAAAAAGTACATTAAACATTTCATACAAAGCAACAATTGATAAATTTCTATACATATATAATTTATATCACTTAAAAAAATACCATTCTCTTTCAGCCCACTGTTCAATGGATGCCATTCCATCTCGTAGGTGTTTCAAAATTTCTTGAGGTTGGTCAGGTTGCTTTGCTAAATTTACAACACGTATCACAGCCATTGCATCTCGTAAAATTATTGCAATAAGAAGAGACCAATCTAAACATCCCGCTTCTAGAAGCAGCTGCAGTAGATACCTAATACAATTATTTATTACAAATAAACAATGTTATTATGAATGTGATATTACATAATCATAAACTACTTATGGACACATAAAATGTACAATGGTTTTTTTTTGTAAATAAATCATGATATTTTTCACCTTATTTTTTAAATAAAATATGAGCTTGTGGAATTTGCCAGCAATGGAAGAAACTGCAGTAAAATTTATGGAGGAATACAGAATTCTGATGAAAATTTTCTAAGGGGAACAATCACTAAATGAGTTTCCTAGATAGCTGCTGTTCCCAAGAATCACACGGAGCCGACTCTCTGTGATTATCTGATGTTTTTTCAAGTGAAAATGGATTGCTGTGTACTTCAGGAAAAGAACAGTGGGAGGGATACAGAAAGATTTGAAGAATTTTTTTCTCTCTCTTTTTTTTTTTTAACATACCATGTAATCATTATTTAAGACTTCAAATTTGTATTTTAAATTACTGTAGTATGTTTTCTTTTCTTAATTGACTTACGATAAATAAATAAGGCAAAAAAATATTTAAGAAACATTATATATTAGCTTACTTTTTACATTTTATTTTAAACATTTTATACAGTCAAAAGTCTTTAATCCGGACGTCCATAATCCGGAATGATCTATAATCCGGACCTCAAAGCTACAAACTTTCTGCGCATGCGTAAATGCTTGCGCATATGCGTTTATGCATGCGCTTAATACCTTTATGCATGCACATAATATGTTTACGCATGCACGTTTAATAAATAACGGACGGTATAAGCTAAGCTAAAATTATCTAATTATCTATTTCAGTTAATGTTGCAGATTGCGTTGTTCCTTAATCTTCGAATTGGATCCAGCTTATTTTTTTTTGCAGACTGTTAGAGCAATTTTATGAAAGTAAGCTTGAACTTTCGATTATGTCAAATAGAATTTCCAATTCTGGAGCTGCCAAAGGATCTACAAAGCGAAAGCATGTTTCGATGTCCATTCAACAAAAAGTGGAATTGAAGCAAAAAATGGATAAAGGCATGAAGAAAGTGACAGAGAGGTGATTTGTTTCTCTAACCATTCTGAAATCTGTTTATCAATTTTACGCTGCTCGCGGGTGTGGGGGGGGGGACGTAGCGGCGCGCAATGAACTGGATATTGATATGTCAGTACTATCCTCAGCTTTAGGGCAGATGTTTTTATTTTAGTCGGCTTATAATTCCTTACTAAATGTAGTATTTCATCTCGATGTATTCCGTCTTTGATATGATTTAAATCAATTTCTTCGTCATTATAAATATCACGAATATGCATAAAATAGTTTTCTGGTTGCAATTTTCTAATTTCGACTATGCGTAATGTATGCTTTACACATGCATGCATTGAAAGAAATGTTTAATAAAGTAAAAAAAAATAAATATTAAGGGTTTTTTTTGTACATTTTGATATCCTTTAGATCACAATTGCTCTTTATTTCATAAATTATGCTTTCATATTTTTAATTGTATAATTTCTGTCTGCCATCTTACCAGATTTAAACTTATGATCTATAATCCGGAATCGCCGAAGTTCCGACGAGTCCGGATTAAAGACTTTTGACTGTACATTAGCTTGAAATTTATTACGATATTTCAATCACCGTGTAACACTTTTGATATCCTAAATAATTCACTTTTAAATGATTTGCAATAGATGATCTTTAAATTTTAAATAAATAACAAAAGAATGGATTTGCATCAAACTTATTACATGTTCTAGAAATTTAAGGAGAGTTACTTTAGCGCAGCCTTTCTTAATCTTCTTGAGCATGCGAACCCCATGAAACAATACATTAAAAAGGCCAAAATCCAGACATCCCAATATCTGGACCATCAGCAACTTTTTAACCCAAAGGGGCAATTTGCCCAGAGGGGTTATTAATTTCATTTTGCATCGATTTACTATAAAGTGCGAATTACTTTTTAAATTGTTGCCACCAAATATTAGAGCCCTGTATTATATTTAAAGAAATTAAATAATGAAGAATCTGCATAAATTTATATATGTTTCTGGCATTGTGATAAAACAATAGCACCTAGAGACATCGAATTTCAAATAATGTAAGTCTCCACCCGAATATGGCAACACGGTACAGGGGGACATTTTTATCTCCAGCATGTGAGACTGTGTATCTGAAATTCTACAGATATGTTCTTTTAAACATTTTGTGATATTGCTGTCAAATTGAATTTTATGGTTTAAGTGTGAAGAACATGATATTTTGTAAACAAACGTAACACACGAAACATATATATATATATATATATATATATATATATAAAAGACCCTTTGGGCATAATATAAAATCTGAAAGCTTTCAGTTCTTCCCCTTTTCTTTTTTTTTTTTTAATTTTTATTTTTTGTATGCTATTCACGCAAGCACATTTCATACCTTTTTATAATAAAATATGTGGAGAGTCCTGATTCTAAATTTCGCTTTGGCACTAAATAATATGCTTCCATATAAAAGAAACAATTATTTATTAACATAAATCTGTAAAATCAATAACTTGACTCTGTAGCTGCATTTCTACTTGGCATACATCTCAAAATGAAACCTTCTATTTTGAAATATCCTTAATTTAAAACCCTCTTGCTGTGCAAATTTTTTTTTATCAAAATGGGTTAAAAAATTTCATATTTTTTCCATTACATATTTCAAATTTACATATATTTTAGAATTAAAATCCACAAAATTTTTTTGTAAAAGAGTTTTTTTCAATATCGAATCGAATCATAAAAAAGGGTTGTTGGAAACTTGAAGAATAATTATATAAAAGCAAAATTCTGAAAATTAATCTTGGCTAAATTTTCATTTACTTTATGAAATACAAAAGTAAAGGGTATATACTAATGAAAATATGCAAAATACTTCCAAAATATTTATTAGAAATAAAGTTTATTATGATAAACTTTGAAACAAGATTGAAAAAAGATTTGAAACAAAGATTGCAAGTCCTACATTGCAATCTTTGCACCAAATTTGTGTTTCTTTGAGAATTTCTTTGCCAGTTTCAGTTTCTTTTTAGCAATAAACAGCACACTGTCTACGAGGCTCTTTCTTGATGGAAATTGGGGGGTGGGTGGATTATAGCTAACAAAATGTCGAGCAGTTAGTCTCATGGAATTGAGAGTTGAACTACATCTGCCAGGGTAAACATTTGAATACTTTTGAATGCTTAGCCAAATAATTTGCAAATGGAACTCTAGAAGCATTATATTATGCAATGGGTTATCTTTTTTATGAAGGATATAAGCATTTCAGAGTGATTGATATATTAATCCTTGGAACATTTTTATGTAATATTTTCCTTGTTTTCTGAGAGTCATATTTCTTGGTCACATAAATCAATCCCACCCATCATGTTATTGTAATCACAAACAACTAGTTTCATTACAGTTTTGTTTGACTTGCAAAATTAACCAAAACTTGCATCATGAATTGTACTCATCAGAAAAACACTCTTTTTGGGCTGCCATTTCAAAGCCATTAACTTTAGCCCTTTGGTAAGCAATGACTTCACCATTAGGGATTTCTTCTTTGCAAAATTTGGAGGAAAGTCTTTCCTGGTCTTATTTACAATGTCTTATGAGTCTGTTTTTTCTGAAACTAAAATGTCTGCTAATTGTGGAGAAATATTGTAGTTGTCCATAGTTGCACAGTAACTTTTGCCAAGGAATCTGTCCATCAAGTGCAAAACAGTTTTATTGGAAACTGGATAATTCGAAATTTAGGGTTAAAAACAGTTCCATTACCTGTATATATCACGAAGTCTGATAGATTTCCAGTTTATGCATCACAAAGCACAAAAAATTAAGGCCAAATCTTCGCTTTTTTTTTTTTTTTTTTAAAAAAAAAAGATAAACATTTTCCAGCTGAGTCTGCCTTTAAAAAGCATCAAATTCTCATCTATGCTCAGATTTTTTCCTGGTATAGAAATATTTCAAAATTTATTTCAAAGATGCTTTATGATGTCATAAATTTTATTTAATTTTGGTCATGGATGATTGTCTTTATAAAACTCTTCATTATTTGTAAAATGAAGAAGCTTCATCAGCAAAATAAATTTATCTTTTTGAATTATTTGTTAGAAAATTGGTGCTTGCAATATATGATGTTTAGACCAATAATATACCTGTTTTGGCTTTTTTTACAATTCCTTGGAGAGATAAAACAGGAAAGAATAATCCATTCATATCTGTCCATTTCTTCCACCTTGATCTTTCTTTAAGAACTGCTCTATTGATATACTGCTTAGTGTAACTATTGGTCTCTTGTACTATTATTTGTAATATAAGACAGTAAACAAAAAGTAAAAAATAATCCAAAGTTGTATCATTTTTCATAATAAAAGTAGCTCCAGTATTGCCAAGAAAAACAAATGAAGCAGGAGCTGGGGAAATATTTTGCACCACTGTTGAGCGTTTTGAATGTAAAGTGAATCTTTAGATTAATCACTATCTGCAGAGAAATCCGAGAAATTCTCATCAGTTTTGCTATAACTATCTTCAATACACTTGAAATCAAAGTCAGAACTACTATCAGTGCTTGAAATATTGTGAGGAATATAGGTTACATCACTTGAAAAACACTTCCTGCCAGACAGCTTTCAGCTTTGAAAAGAGAGTGCAATATGTTGCAAAACATATTTGCATATTTTATAACTATCTTCAATAAACTTGAAATCAAAGTCAGAACTACTATCAGTGTTTGAAATATTGTCAGGAATCTAGGTTACATCATTTGCATCCGAAATGAAACCATAAACAGGAAAAAAGCAGGTTGCACAGTTACATAGATGAAAAAGATGCATTCCTGCGGAAACTGCAGGTTGTGCAAATTTTGCTACTTCTACGTTGTCTGTGGAAATTGTGGGATATGCAGCAGGTATTGTGACATATAGTGTGGGAAATTGTGGGTTGGCATGACAGATGTAAATTATTCAGTAGGTAATAATTTACATCTGTCATGCCAACCTAGCGAATCATTATTTGTAATTTTTTGCTTTCATCACCAGATGACTGTCAACACGTGGCAGCTTGAGAAATGACTTACACATAGCAATGCTTAAACAAGTTTTATATATATATTAGTAACTGAATATCAAAGATAATGGTAACCTTTCATCTCAAATGACACTTGGTGATCATTACAGACTTCAACCAACTGTGTTATGAAGTGCTGAGGAGGAGAAGTTTAATAGACATTTCTTCCAAATGTAAAAAATTGGTTTTGTAAATCATACTCATAGCCTAAAAGATTACATTTAGTGCTGTTTGAATTGAGGATAACTAATTTATTAGTTAGATAATCCCAGTACTGGCATCAGAGCAGGTGCAGCCTTTTATAATTCAGTGAAGCAATAATCGACAAAATTAAATGATGACAAAATCTTTAGAATTCAGTGAAGGCACAGGGACACAAAATTTTCAGTGGTTTGAAGGTTTTCAAATATTCAAAACAAAAAACTAAATTTCCAATTGATGAAATTTGCGAAGAAATGTGGAGAAGTGATAATAAATGAAGATGATATAAGAGAAGTTTTTCATTGCAATGACAATGCTCCAATCATCAATTAACTAAGAGAAGGTGAAATCTGTAGTATGGTTCTAAACTCAGAAGATATCACTATCAATAGTGAAGAAAAGTGACAAAGAGATTGTTCAGAATGAAAATATTTTGATTAACAGTTTAGTGGGAATTCTCGACATGGCAATTACAAGACTAAAACAATGGAACTTTATGATTGAAGAAGACATTATATCTGTCTATAAAATTAAAGAGAAGGCATTAGCACAAAAAATAAAGCAAATTAAACAACTTACGTTGAAAGAAATGTTTAACAAAGTAAAAAAATAAATATTGAGGCTTTTTTTTGGGGTACATTTTGATTAAGGTCATAAATTCTTCATTATTTCATAAACCACAGTTTCATATTTTTAATTTTATAATTTTTACATGTCATCTTACTAGATTTAAACTTACTAGATATCTGAAAAAATCTCAAGTCCAGAATTGCTAAAGTTTCAACATGTTCAGATTTTGGACTTTGAACTGTATTCATGTTCCAAGAAATCTTTATATTCTGAATCACAATTGCATTTACATACGATTATACATTTTTCACTGAATGCCTAGAGATTTCTCATGAACATCATGATACCAGAGAACCCTGGCAAGCTATATGGCTATAAGGTAACATAGTACAGCTGCTGAAAATACTAAAGTATTTTTAAAGAACAAATCTTATCATAAAAAATCATCATCTTACATCATATTACATTATGAAATGAGTAAAAGTAGAATGCAAATTATAATAATATCTCTAGAATAAGTCACAAAAATAAAAACAAAAATAAGAGATACATATTGAGCAAATGTAATCGTACTACAGTTGTGTGAAACTTTTTTAAGAATGCAATTTCACTGAAGAATGATTTTATTTTGAAGATTTTAAGTCATTAGGCAAATGAAGCAATGGGTTAAAATCATAATTAAATACACATTTTTAAAACAGCATTTATTTTAAATTTACTGACAGTAGTTACATTTAGTGTCCAGTTAAAAATCTGATTTAGCTACCTCTAATGCATAAGATGCAACAAAACAAACAACAACAAAAAATATGTTATTAACTGAAAATCTTCGTAATCCCTTAATAATGCCTGTGATCTCGAAGAAGGTCATAATTCAACAACAGGTTAGCATTACCATACAGTATATAAATGCATCACACTACTTGCTATCAGCAGCATAATTAATTCTTTTAAAGACAAGTAATTATACAAGGTGACTACAATGTTGCACTTATTAACCATAATGTATGAATAAAAAATTATTCAGAACAAAAATACAAAAAGATGCAACAGAATAACATGCATGCTAACTGAATTATGAATGTTATCAAAATCCGCATTAAGAGAGCTAATCTTAATCCTCTATTTTGATTGTAAATTTATAAGAATACAGTTTTCAGAATTATATATTACAAGATTATGAATAAATAAGTTTATAAAATGGTGAACTATACAATAAAAACAAAGACATCTGTTTTTAACTATATATACATATTTTTATTATCATTTTTATATTTCTTGAAAATGAGGGATTAATGTTAATTACATTAATAAAGGAGTTATACAAATAAATGACTAATATCACAAAAAAATGTTACCGTAACTGAACTTCAGTTTGTAAAGGTCCTCGGCTAGCCAGTTCCTCTGAAATAGCTTCTAACTCTGTAGGTAAAGGCATATTGGATAAGCTTTCATCATCAAGAGTATTTAAACTTTCTTCTGTCCATAAAGAACTATTCTCCGACACATCTAAATTCAATAAACTGTCCCCTGTAAAATATACTAGAAAAGGGAAGATTCTTCTTAACAATGATAAAAATCTTCATAACTAAACTACAAATATCAGTCAACAACAACAACAACAACAACAACAACCAAAAAAAAAAAAAAAAAAAAAAAAAAAAAAAAAGAGCTGAAAACTATTGTGAAAAATTTATGGTATAGGCAATAATGTCAATTACAATGAAAACAGTCACATCCCTACGGAAAATAAGGGGGATAGCATTGTGAAGCATGTGATATTATAAACAGCAAGAATTTCAACATGTGAATAACAAGGGGGCAGGCTTACTGCATGTGATATTCAAAATGTAGTAGCACACTAAAACTAAGAAATTGATTCATTGAAGGAAAAACAGTGAGGTGTAGTACACATTTGATACTGAAAATAACCTTGTGAACTTCAAGAGATTTCCACAAATTTCAGTACCTTACACTCACTGAATCACCTGATAACCCTTCTACCAGATAAAGTATACTAAAATCTATAATATAAAAAACTAAGCATATTCCTGCAGTCGAATATCGTGCTACAGCTTGTCAATGTAGTTAGAAGATCCAAGTTTTCCCTGAGAAGCCACCCATGAAGGCATTCATCCCAACAAGCAACTCTAACATGCTTTTCTGTACTTAAATAATTTATCATCCATTCCCATCAGCCCATCTCTTTGTTTTCATATGCAGATAACTTCTGGATGGTGTAAGCAGTAAGTTAATCCCTCGACAATCATATAAAGTGCAGCTATTAGTGCTAAATGTAAAGGTTTGTCATTTTCATTACAGATGTGGTTGGTTCCCTAACAATTGGCATCATTGCCTGCCCAAAAAATTTTCAGTAATAGCATCAAGTTTATTTTTTATCGTTTCCCCATCATACATTCAAACTATAAATAAATTAATAATTCAGAGATATGTATTTTATTCTACCAAAAAAATATTAAAATACTAACCAATCTCCAAAATTAATAATATATATTCCATATGCTGTGATATTTCTTATACAGTACAAAGTCCGTAATCCGGACTCGTCGGGACTTCGGCGATTCCGAATTAGGGGTTTTTCTGGATTATAGATCATCAATTTAAATCTGGTAAGATGGCATGCAGAAATTATTATTCAATTCAAAATACGGAAACCGTAATTTATGAAAATAAAGAGCAATTATGATCTAAAGGGTATCAAAATTTACAAAAGAAAAGGCTTAATATTTATTTGTTTACTTTATTAAATCGTTTCTTTCAATGCAAGTTGTTTAAGTTATTTCATTTTTTAGTGCTAATACTTTCCCTTTCATTCTATAAACAGACATAATTTCTTGTTCAGTTACAAAGTTCCACTGTTCAAGTCCTGTAATTGCTGTGTCGAGAATACCGACAAACTTGTCAATCGAAATTTTTTCGTTTTCAATAACATCTCTTTCACTTTCTTCACTATTGATAACACGCATGGGTAAACACTACACACGTGCGTAAGTATGTGACCTTTGAGGTCCGGATTACAGATCATTCCGGATAATGGATGTCCGGATTATGGACTTTGTACTGTAATTAATTAATGTTTAATGCATTAAATATACAGACAAGTACAGTCAAAGTATTAGAAGGAGAAAAGAGACAAGTATTAGAAGGCAAGCCAATTAAAAATAAGTGCAGGAAACATAAAATAAATGTTTAGGAAATAAAAACTGTTAGTAAACTAGCATATTTATATGAAAACTGATAAAATGAATAATAAATATTTTATTTTCTTTAACAGCACTCTACCTAAATGTCAAAAGGCATGATTGTTGAGCAGATGATGTATACTGCATGTTTATGCATTTTGGATGAGAGCATGAGATAAAAAAAAAATACGAAAGCTTTCAGATTTTACATTAGGTCCAAAGGGGCTTTTATTTAACATTTGTGTGTTACCTTTATTTATTAAATATCATGTTCTTTGCACTTAAACCATTAACTTCAGTTCAACAGCAATATTGCAAAATAATTTTGAAATGAGCATATCCTTAGAATTACAGTCTCGCGCTCCGTAGATAAAAAGGCTTTTTTTTCCTCCGTACAATATTGCCATTTCTTGCTTTGCAATCATTGAGTTGCTTAATCAAAAACTCATAAATGCTTTAGAAAATATGAAATAGGTAATAAAACAAAGTCCAAATTTGGGTTTCCAGATGCCCATATTGTGGAGCAATTCATAACGACAGCGATGAGGCTGTACAACTCCCCCCTCACCCCCGCTAACTGTGATTGGACTTGATCCAAAAAAAAAGGGGGGGAAGGAGAAACATTCTCTCCTTGTACGACTCACTTCTCGCGTTATGCAATGGACAGTAAACAACGCTTGTAATCATCGCTATATTTTTTCCCTTCATATACCTAATAAATATGTTATTTTTGTGTTTGCTAATACAATGATCGTGTTCCTTACCTCCGCAGCTTGGGTTACACTTTATTAAGGTAAGAACTTTAATTCTGTTTTATTCATCTGCTCGTCTCGATTTAGCGAAGTTGTAACAGTAAACAGAAATGAACCACGAATACCTTCAACAAAAGATTATGAGACCGAAAATATGTTTACTTCAACTAAACGCATAAAATATATCGAGATAAGCCATTAAGAATAAAAAACAGAAAAGATACTTTACCATAAATTATCGCTGGATAATCCGAAAAAGGAAAAGCCAAGCCTGTCTTCAAAAGCGAAACAAAACTGCATAGTTGCATACTGCGCATTCGAAATACAGAAGCAGAAATATCATGTTCAAGATAAATATTCGAAAGATAAATATTTTATTGCGAAAATAAATATTCGATCATGAAACTAAACAATAACAATTATCAAATATGGAAATACAAACTTGAAATGATCCTGAAAAAGGAAAATTTATGGGATTTAATAGCAGATGATACACCAAAAGAAATAAACGTCGAATGGAGAAAACGAGATGAACAAGCACAAGCTACCATTAGTTTACTCGTAGAGGACAACCAAATCGTACACATAAGAAATAAAACGACAGCCAAAGAAATATAGAATGAATTAAAGAAAATACATGAAAGAAAGAATCTTTCCAATAAACTTTACCTACTGAGAAAGCTGTATACAATAAAAGCAGAAAACGAATACAAACTCAAAGAACACGTCAACAAAATGCTCGAAATCGTAGATGAACTGCGAGGAATTGGTGAAGAAATAAAGGACAGTCACATTGCCGCGTTCTTACTAAGCGGCTTACCAAAGAGCTACGAAAATCTCATTGCAGCTTTAGAAGCACGCCCAGAAGAAGAACTAACGCTGGAATACATAAAAACGAAACTCATCGACGAATGCCTGAGAAGAAAAGAAGGCACGCGAGCAGAAGAAATGACTGCCTTCAAAACGAATTTTAGCACAAATTTCAAGCATTTCAATCAACGAAGATGCAATTATTGCAAAAAAATAGGACACTTAGAAAAAGAGTGCAGATTCTTAAATAACCACAAAGAAAAAGATAAAAACGAAAGTAACTCATTTTTCAAGAATGAAAAGCAAACGAATAAAGAAAATTATGGAAATAAACAGAAAACGAAAGTTGCTGTAAACGAGGATACACATGAAGATGAAAACGAAAGATAAGAATCATGAGAAGACTGAGAATTAACACGTTCGAAGTCACCAGAGAAAGAAAATCTCAAAACTCAAACTGGTCAGTTGACTCAGGTGCTACTTGTCATATGACCGATAACATAAACTTTTTCACCAAATTGGATAGAAGCAAAACTGAGCAGATAACAATTGCTAACGGCACGCAGATGAAGTCCGAAGGTATATCGGAGAAGGATACTTATACTGTACAGACGACGAAGATAACGAAATAGAAGTGAGACTCGTAGATGTTCTGTACGTTTCCTGACCTAGAAGGAGGATTGATATCCGTACGAAAAATTACAAAGAAAGGATTCACAGTTGAATTTGAAGAAGATATTTGCAGAATAAAGAAAAAAATAAAACCATAGGAATTGCTAAAGCAGAAGAAAGGAAATTTATACACCATAGTTGAATCGCAAAGAAGAAAAGCCAAAATTGCAGCTGCAGAAAGAAGAGAAAATAGTATAGATCTTTGGCATAGAAGGCTAGGACACAGAAATTATGAAGCAATCAAGAGGCTAAAGAATGATGACCTGGCAACCGGAATAAGAATTGACGGAGGAGAAGCCAAAAAGGAAAAAGAATGCGAATGCTGTATCAGAAGCAAAATGACTGAATTGCCGTATCCCAAGCTAAACAAACTATAGAGCAAAATCAGTTCTAGACTTGATACATTCAGATATCTGTGGACCAATCGGTACAACATCACTAGGAGGAAAGAAATACTTCATAACATTCATCGACGATCATTCGAGATACACAACGATCTATCTGCTAGCGCAGCTACAAAAGATGAAGCTATCTCCAAATTAAAACAATTTGTAACCATGACGAAGAACAAATTTGGAAAGAAGCCAAAAGTCTTAAGAACAGACAATGGAGGAGAATATACAAGCAAAGAGATTGAAGACTATCTAAAGGAAGAGGGAATCGAACATCAAACCTCCGTAGCATATTCACCGCAACAGAACGGTAGAGCAGAAAAAAGAAAAAATCGATACTTAATGGAAATGACAAGATGCCTGCTACTCGATTCAGGACTCAAAAGAGAATTTTGGGGTGAAGCCGTAATGACAGCCACCTATCTACAAAACAAAGGCTACCATCAAGATCAGTTGAAAAAACACCGTATGAACTATGGAATAATAAGAAGCCGAACCTAAGCCATATCAGAGTTTTCGGCAGCCAAGCTTATTGTCGAGTTCCAAAGCAGAAAAGAAGCAAAACTAGACGAAAGAGCAGAAAAAGGAATTCTTGTTGGATATAGTGACCGTACTAAAGGATATAGAATTTACATGCCACATGCAAACAACGTCGTGATCAGAAGAAGCGTAATATTCGATGAAAACAAAAAAGAAGAAATGCCTCTTGTCAA